CAATGACACCCATAGGCTCAAAATAAAGGGATGGAAAAAATCTGCCAAGTAAATGAAAATAAGAAAAAAGAAGGGGCTACAATACTAATTTCAGAAAAAAGCAGACTTTAAACTAACAAAGGTGAAAAAAGACAAGGAAGGGCATTATATAATGATAAAGGATTCAAACAAGAAGAGCTAAATATCCTAAATATATGTGCATCCACAGCAGGAGAATCCAGATTCATAAAGCAAGTTCTTAGAGACCTACAAAGAGACTTACATGCCCACACAATGGGAGTCTCCAGTGGGTGATTTCAACACTCCCCCGACAGTACTAGACAGATCATCAAGGCAGAAAATTAACAAAGATTTAAACAAAGATTGAACTCAACATTGGATCAAATAGATCTGATAGACCTCAGAAGTCTCCAGCCCAAAACAACAGAATATACATTCTTCTCATCAACACATGGAACATACTCTAAAATAGACCACACAATTGGACATAAAACAATCCTCGGCAAATGCAAAAGGACTGAAATCATACCAAACACACTCGTGGACAACAGCTCAATAAAAATAGAAATCAAGACTGAAAAAAATCACTCAATTCATGCAATTACATGGAAATTAAACAACTGCTTTTTAATAAATTTGAGGTAAGTACTGAAATTAACACAGAAATCAAAATGTTCTTGGAAACTATTGAGAATGAAGATACAACATACCAGAATCTCTGGGACACAGCTAAGGCAGTGTTAAGGGGGAAATTTGTAGCACTAACTGCCCACATAAAAAAGATACAAAGATCTCAAATTAACAACCTAACATCACAAATAAAAGAACTAGAGACAGAAGACAAAACCAACCCCAAAACTAGCAGAAGATAAGAAATAACCAAAATCAGAGCTGATCTGAAAGAAATTGAGATGAGAAAAACTGCACAAAAGATAAACGAATCCAGGAGTTTGTTCTTTGGGAGAATTAATAAGATGAATAGACTCCTAGTTAGATCAATAGAGAAGGAAAGACAGATGATCCAAATAAACATAGTCAGAAATGACAAATGAGATGCTACCATTGACCCCACAACAATACAAATAATCATCAGAGACATGATGAATCATGAAGACATATGCACAAGAACTAGAAAACCTAGACGAGATGAATAAATTTCTGTACACATATATCCTCCCAAGTCTGAACCAAGAAGAACCTGATTATGTGAACAGACCAATAATGAGCTCTGAAATTGAATTAGTAATAAATAGCCCACCAAACAAAGGAGGAGTGACTCCTCCCCACCTCATTCTATGAGGCCAGCATCATCCTAATAAAAAAAACCTGGAAGAAACACATACACAAAAGGAAAACTTCAGGCCAATATTCTTCGTGAACATAGATGCAAAAATTCTCAACAAAATAATAGCAAACTGAATTCAATAGCACATCAAAAAGCTAATACAAAATGATTAAATAAGCTTTATCCCTGGGATACAAAGTTGGTTCAACACATGCAAATTAATAAAGTGATTCATCACATAAACAGAATGAAAAACAAAACTCACATAATTATCTCAACAGATACAGAAAAGGCTTCTGATTAAGTTCAACATTGCTTCATATTAAAAACTCTCAATAAACTAGGTATTAAGGAAAATATCTCAAAATAATAGGCACCATTTATGACAAATCCACAGCCAACATCATACTGAATGGACAAAAGCTGGAAGCATCCCCTTGAAAACCAGCACAAGACAAGGATATCCTCTCTCAGCACTCCTATTCAACATAGTATTGGAAGTCCTGGCCAGAGCAATTAGGCAAGAGAAAGAAATAATGGGCATTATAGGAAGAGAGTAAGTAAAACTATTCCTGTTTGCAGATGACATGATTCTATATCTAGAAAACCCCATAGTCTTGGCCAAAAAGCGCCTTCAGCTGATACACTATTTCAGCAAAGTTTCCAGATAAAAAATCAATGTGGGAAAGTCACTAGCATTCCGATACAGCAACAACAGTCAAGCCGAGAGACAAATCAGGAACACAATCCCATTCACAATTGCCAATGAAAGAATATAATATCTAGGAATGCAGCTAACAAGGCAGGTGAAAGGCCTCTACAATAAGAACTAAAAACACTGCTCAGAGAAATCAGAGATAACACAAACAAATGGAAACAAATTTCTTGTTCATGGACAGTAAGAATAAATATTGTTTAAATGGCCATACTGCCGAAAGCAATTTACAGATTCAAGGCTATTTCTATCAAACTACCAACGACATTCTTCACAGAACTAGAAAAAGACTTTAAAATTCATATGAAACCAAAAAAGAATCTGAATAGCCAAGCAATTTTAAACAAAAAGAACAGATTTGGAGGCATCATGTTACCCTACTTCAAACTATACTTCAGGGCAACAGTAACCAAAACAGGTTTCCTGAAAGAAACCAGGGTATTCTTTCAGGAAAGTCCCCAAAATGGGAAAGTAAATCCATACCTCTGTCCTAGGAAATAAAAAGAAATTTGACTAAGAAAACATATTAAGCCATTGAGATCTGTGTTGGCCATAGTTCTAAAACTAAGGAACAAACATAGCAAGGAAAAAAAAGAAATAAAACAAGAATTTAAAAAAAAAAAAAAAGAACTTCAGACAGGAATTCCCCAAGGCCGCTGATTCATATTGTAGGTGTGGAAAGGCATCCTGCTAATTCTTACCATCTTTCTCAACACCAGGGGACACTCTCCCTTTGGATTTCTATGTCTAGAGACCTGTGGCTCATTAAAAGGCAGGTTGATTTTCAGAGAGAAAGAGGTTTTTAAAGATGAGTTTATGCTGCAATCCCAACATGAACTATTGCTTCAAATACGTTTTAACTTTTATAATCACTGGGAATATAAACAAGAATAGCCTCCTTGACTGTGAATCAGAACAATCAATCAGGTAAGAGAATGAACTGAGACAGGCTGCGAAATTGCACATAATCTCAATATGTTAATGAATGATCTAGCTACTTGCTAGTATTAAACACCCGGTATCTAGATCTCATTTTCTATCTAATGGTGTACTCTTCATTGTGAGGAGAAATATGAAGATCCTTGACTTACTCCATTTTTACTGCCATATCTTATTCTCAATTCGACATATCTAGTTCTCTAGACATTATCCAAAGCAAACATGTAATTTCTAAACGGTGAAATTTCAGTGAAGCAAATGATTTACTACAAACCACTCTGACGGCTAATTTTCTTAGAAGCTAGGAATATATGTTTTACCATATGGATTTTTGGGACAATTTTGTTTTCTGGGTCCAAGAACCAAAAATTATATTTGAAATATAATTTGTATTTTAAACAGGAGTGGTAATTTTTTAAATACACAAAATATACATGGTCATTCAAGAAAGTTACATGAATTATTTGAAGGCAGTCCTTCATGTACGTATAGTAAAAGTTAGATTGTTTTTCAAAATTTCTTCCCAGCTATGAAGCCAAAAAACCCATGGCTCTCTAGAAGTGTTCCCTTGTTCATTATTTTTTTTTACTGTAGTCACATCAAATTATATTCTTCTCTCCTCAGTGGTTTCTAAAACCTTGAATGATACTCCTTTTATAGGAAGCACTCCAATGTCAGCATCTCTTCAATTTCTTTACAGTTCTACCAGCTCTCTCAGTGTCTCTCACTTCTGTAAGTTCCCCACACATCCTACTTCTTCCCTCCCAATATACAAGAGCTAATCCATTACAGCCTAATGAAAAGAACAAAGAAGAAGCTACTTCACAAAATTATGTCTGCTTTTATTAGTAAACTTAGTGAAGATAATGCCAGTACTTTACAAATTATGGAGAAAAAAAATTTCTAGAAAATGTAATGGATCTAGAAGAAAAGAAGGTGAATTTCACTTGAGATAGAATATTCCTTAATATCTGATGAGTGAGTTTATTTCAGGCAAATAAAAACAGAACTTAAGAAAATAGATCACAGAGAAGATAATTTCAAGAAGGCTGAATATATATTTAGAGGAGAGGTTAGTATTGGTGAAAAAAGAAGAGAAACTACTGAATCTGTCAGAGGAAAAACTATTCTTATCCAGGGATTCATAGATTTCCTAGGAAAGGAAGAGTCTAAGATCAACAGATAAATAAAAGCACAATAACATTTGCAATGAAAAAAGTAATTTGGGATTCTATTTCGAAAAAAATATAAAGGGTCAGATTATAGGAAGAAACTGAGCTCATCATCAGATATAACAGTGATGAAATTTTAAATATTCAGGCTAATATGTGACTAATGTGGTCATGTTTCTTACCCCAGTAGGTCACTACAACATTTCAGGGATGTGGGTCAGGAAGAGATCAGTAAGAGAATATCTCTAATTAATTTACATTGTAAAATGAGGAAATGCAATTACTACTACTCTTTCAAGATTAAAAAAAAAAAAAAAAAACTGTGGTTTTGATGCATTGAAACCTGTCTTTTTATTTCAGTTAACATCCTACTGGTGGTTTCTTACTAGGCCAAGAGATAGCTATGTGATATGCTTAAAAATTGTCCCCTGTGAGAGCTACTTGGAAAGACAAAAGGAAAGCTGTAACCGAATGAAGATATTCATGGGCCCAGAGAGGTGGCTAATGCCTGTAATCCCAGCATGTTGGGAGACTGAGGCAGGCAGATAACTTGAGGTCAGGAGTTCAAGACCAGCCTGGCATACACGGTGAAACCCCATCTCTATTAAAAATACAAAAATTAGCCAGGTGTGATGGTGGACTTCTGTAATCCCAGTTACTTGGGAGGCTGAGGCGAGAGAATCTCTTGAACCCAGGAGGCGGAGATTGCAGTGAGCCAAGATCACACCACTGTACTCCAGCCTGGGAGAAACAGCAAGACTCCATCTCAAAAAAAAAAAAAAGAATGAAAATATTCACAGCCAGAGAAGATTGTAGGCTAGCAGGCTAGCAATGTTTTCTGATACCTAGGAGAAAGAAATATAGTAATGAAAAACATAATAAAAAATAGTTGTGTCAGAGATCATAACAGATATATATATATGCATATATATTTAATATTTAGCCATCTAAAAACCAAAAATATAAAACTTGTGAGGTTGAATCATGCAAAACAACAATACTCTTCCTCCAAATATTCTTGGCTTGGTGAGAAAATTCTGAGCTGGAAGGATTCTGATTCAATTAGTGTTCCATACATTATTTTGTGTTTTTTTTGAAGTGATGCTGAATACAACCTCAGTCACCGAATTTCTCCTCTTGGGAGTGACAGACATACAAGAACTGCAACCTTTTCTCTTCGTGGTTTTCCTCACCATCTACTTCATCAGTGTGGCTGGGAATGGAGCCATTCTAATGATTGTCATCTCTGATCCTAGACTCCATTCCCCTATGTATTTCTTCCTGGGAAACCTGTCCTGCCTGGATATCTGCTACTCTACGGTGACACTGCCAAAGATGCTGCAGAACTTCCTCTCTACACACAAAGCAATTTCTTTCTTGGGATGCATAAGCCAGCTCCATTTCTTCCACTTCCTGGGCAGCACAGAGGCCATGCTGTTGGCCGTGATGGCATTTGACCGCTTTGTGGCTATCTGCAAGCCACTTCGCTACACTGTCATCATGAGCCCTCAGCTCTGTACCCAGATGGCCATCACAATCTGGACCATAGGTTTCGTCCATGCCCTGCTGCACTCCGTAATGACTTCTCGCTTGAACTTCTGTGGTTCCAACTGTATCCATCACTTCTTCTGTGATGTGAAGCCGTTGCTAAAGCTGGCCTGTGGGAACACGGAGCTCAATCAGTGGCTGCTCAGTACTGTCACAGGGACAATCGCAATGGGCTCTTTCTTTCTCACATTTCTCTCTTATTTCTACATTATCACCCATCTCTTCTTCAAGACTCATTCTTTTGGCATGCTCCACAAAGCACTGTCCACTTGTGCCTCCCACTTCATGGTAGTTATTCTTTTCTATGCACCTGTTCTCTTCACCTATATTCGTCCTGCCTCAGGAACCTCCATGGACCAGGACCGGATCATTGCCATCATGTATACTGTGGTCACTCCTGTACTAAACCCACTGATCTACACTTTGAGGAACAAGGAAGTGAAGGGGGCCTTTAATAGAGCAATCAAAAGGTAGCTTTGACCTAAAGAAATCTTGAAGAACTCTTCTGAAGCATAAATAAACAATTAAAAAGTTGAGTTTGTAATTATACTGTTTCTTAAATTATTTAGAAATGTACAACAGAGGGAACTGGATAAAACAAAAATATATGGAAAAATATGCTGTAATTGTATTTAACAATGTTTTCCTAGGTTATATAAGGGACATTTGAATGAATGGGATGCTAACCATGGAACTCTACTGCTGACTAAGTTTTGAAGATATCAGTTGATAAAATTGATGTTAGGTTTTTTATATGTTCTTATAATGAAATTGGGTATAGAAATATGCCTGTGTTTCCCATGTATTAAATAGATGGATAATACTTGGGTCTATTTATCTATCTGGTCCTACTAGGTTAACGCATTGTAATATTATAAATAAAACTATTATGCTTTGATATTATGAGGATTTTATTTTAGGGCCATGGTTACTCAACTGGAAAAGTATATGCTAACTGACATATGAGTTAAGGAGAATTTTTAAGGGGTGTGCCTTGATTTCTTATTCTTTAAACAAAGAGACAAATAAGTAATTAAAGCAAATGACATTGTAATCACTAAATAACAACAACAACAACAAAAACTCTGACAGTTCATCTAAATGGTTTTGGCACCTCTGTCTCCAGATATCTTTTAGAAGTCAACTGTCCAAACCCTCAATGATTACTTAAAATATTAAAAATCGGAGATAATTTAACAAAGCTCTTAAGACTCTTTCAATCTCATTAGAAAGTTATTGTTTCCTCAGCTTTTAATTGTGGAAGAGAATGACTTTATCAAAATTTTATTTTCTTTTTCTTACTTGTCACCAAACTCATACTAAAGAAAGGCATAGAAGTCATAATTATTGAAGAATTTCTAGACATGAACTACTATGTTCTTCACTTTTTAAGTTCCTATAAATGACTTCTATCCCTGAAGAAATGGTGGATTCTACAATTTATAAATATTTAAAGAATAGACAGAAAATACTATGAAAAGGCATTTTAAGCTCGTGCACTGACCCTTCAAGGTCTCTGCATTCACTTTTGTAAATCTAAACGATTTTATTCTGACTTCTCTCCATGCGTCTTTTGTCTTCTAACTCCACCTTCTTTGGTCCCTCAATTCCAGTTTAGTTTATAACAAAACAAAACAACAATGTGTGTGTGGAGATGGCAACTCCTAATCTCAACTGTCCCAAGCTATCAGTAATATATTCTATGCATATTTTATACAATACATTTTTTCTCTCATTTCTGGTGGTGAGAATTTGTCACATAATTCAAAGTTCACAGAGTGTGTGAACTATAGAAGAGCACATGGGGTTCTGGTTACCAATGCATAACACACTAGGACCCCAAAATTCAATCCCTTAAAACAATTAAGTTACATGCTTCATTGGGTAAGAAATTTGGAAAAACACAGCAGAGAATGGTTGACTCTGATCCATAATGTTTCTGACCTTTGCTGGAATGACTTCAACTCTGGTCATGGAATAGCTGAGAGCTGAGTAAGTCTCTCTCTCTTTCTTTCTTTTTCTCCTTCCTTAATTGCTCATTGTGACTGTCATATGCTTCTTCAACAGGGAAGCCTCAGACAGACTTTTTCATGTTCCAGTAGACTATGGCAAAAGCTGCCAGCCTGGGGCTGAGATTGACCAGTGATAAAATGTCTCCTATTCAAAAAAGCCCAGGATCTGATGGCTTTATTGATGTATACTACCAAACATTTAAAGGATAATTAATGCCAATCTTCTTAAACTTGCTCAAAAATATGAAAAGGAAGAAATACTTTCAAATTCGCTTTATGAGGTCAGCATTACCCTAATACCAAAGCCAGACAAGGCAACTATAAGGAAATAAAGTTACAGGCCAATATCCCTGATGAACATAGACGTAAAAATCCTCAATAAAAACTAGCAAAATGAATTCAACGGCACATTAAAATGATCATGCACCATGACTAAGTGGGATTTATCCTTAGGATGCAAGAATGGGTTAATATACACAAATTAATAAATATGATATGCCACATTAACATACTGAGGGATAAAAACCATATGATAATAGGTACAGAAAAAACATTTGATAAAATTCAATATTGTTTCATAACTAAAAGAAACTTCCAACAAATTAGGTATAGAAGAAATGTAGCTTAATATAATAAAGGTAATGCATATCAAGTCCACTGATATTCTCATTATCAATGTTGGAAAGCTAAAAGCTTTTCTTCCAAGACCAGGAACAAGTCAAGGAGGCCCACTTTTACAATTTCTCTTCAATGTAATTCTGACATTCCTAGATATAGCAATTACACAAGAGAAAGAAATAAAAGGCTTCCAAATTAAAAAGGAAGAAGTAAAATTGTCTGTTTGCAGATGAGGTGATCTTACATCTAGAAAACCCAAAAGACTACACCAAAAACTGTGAGAACTAATAAATTTAGTTAAGTTCACAGGATACAAAATTAACATACAAAAGCCAGTTGCATTTTTATAACAATGATCTATCTGAATAGGAAATCAAGAAAACAAGTATATTTACAATAATGTCAAAGGTAAACAAAATACTTAGGAATAAATCCAACCAAGAAGGTAAAAGATCTGTACCTTGAAAATTATAAGGCATGGATGACAGAAATTGAAGAAGATACAAATAAATGAAAAGATATTCCTTATTCATGGATTGGAAGAATTCATATTGTCAAAATGCTCATACTTCCCTCAGCAAACTACAGATTCTTTGCAATCTCTATTAATATTCTAATGGAATTTTTTACAGAAATAGCAAAAATACTGAAATTCATATGGAACCACAAAAGACTCCAAATAGCCAAGGCTATCTTGAACACAAAGAACAAAGCTAGAGGCTATCATGAGCAAAAAGAACAAAGCTAGAGGCACGACTACCTGAAATCAAAATATACTACAAATCTATAGTGATCAAAACAGTATGATACTGGCATAAAAACAGATACACAGAACAATGGAACAGAATAGAGAGCCCAGAAATAAACCTATGCATTTATGATCAGTTGGTCCTTGGCAAAGGTTCCAAGAACACACAGTGGGAAAAGAATAGTCTCTCCAATAAATTGTGTTGGAAAAACTTAATATCCACCTAAAGAAGAATGAAATTAAACCATTGTCTCAAACGATATACAAAAATCAACTTAATTGGATTAAAAATTGAAAGGTAAGACCTGAAACTGTAAAACTACTAGAAGAAAACAGGGAAAAACTGCTTAATGGTGGTCTGGGCAATGATATTTTTAAAATATCATACCTAAAGCACAGGTAACAAAATCAAAAATAAATAGATTGTACCAAACTAAATAGTTGCTATTTAACAAAAGAAAACATCAACAGAATGAAGAGACAGCCTATGAAATGGGAAAATAATATTTCATAAAGAGTTAATATCCAAAATATACATTTTTTAAAAAACTCAATAGCAAGAAAACAAATAGCCTAGTTTAAAAATGAGGAAAGAATCTAAATAGACATTTTTTCAGTGAAATAGATATTTCCACACAAATGGTCAACAAGTGTATTTATTAATGTTCAACATCATTAAATCAAAGGAAATACAAACTACAACCACGAAATAATCACTTCACATCTATTAGAAAGGTTTTTATCAAAAAGACAAAAGATAACAAGTATTAATGAGGATATAAAAAGAGAACCTTTGTACATTGTTTTTGGGAATTTACATTTGTACAGCCATTGTAGGGGACATATGGAGGTTCCTCAAAAAACATAAAGGTAGAAATACCATCTGATTCAGTAATCCCACTTCTGGGTATACATCTAAAGGAAATAAAATCAATATTTCAAAACCAAACATTGTATGTTCTCACTAATATGTGGGAGCTAACCTATAAGGATGCAAAGACGTAAGAATGACACAGTGGACTTAGGGGACTTGGGGTGTAGAGTGGGAAGGGGGTGAAGGATAAAAGACTACAAGTACGGTACAGTGTATACTGCTTGGGTGATGAGTGCACCAAAATCTCACAAATCACCACTAAAGAACTTACTCATGTAACCAAATACTACCTGTACCCCAATAACCTATGGAAAAAATGTAAAAATTAGTATTTCAAAGACATATTTGCACTCTTGTGTTCATTGCAGTATGATTCTCAATAGCCAAGATATGGAATTAGCTTAAAGGTCCATCAAAACAGAGAAGTGGATTAAAAAATGTGACCTATATAATGTGCATATAACACGGTGATTATAGTTAATAGTACTGTATTATATGCTTGAAATTTTCTAAACTAGAAGACCATAAATGTTCTCACCACACACATACAAAAAGTTGTAACTATGTGAGGTGATGGATGTGTTAATTGGCTTAATTGTGATAATCGTTTCACAATGTATACGTATCTCAAAACATCACAGTAAACATCATAAATATATACAATTTTACGTGTCAGTCATACCTTAATAAAACTAAGGGGAAGAAAACTACCACCAAACCTTCTAAGCATGGGAATATATGAATAGGAACTTTGAAAACTGAAAAGCGAAGAAAACAAAGACTTATTAAAGCAGAGAAGAATATTCAAGGATTCTGAGAAAACTCCAAAATATGTAATACATACAATGGGAATATCAGGAGTAGAAAAGTAGATAGAAACCAAAGAAATATTTGAAACAATAACTGAAAATTTCCCCAAATTAATATGAGACACCAAACTTCAAATCTAGGAGGCTCAAAGAATACCAAGCAGCATAAATGCCAAAAAAAACTATGTCTAGAAATATCTTTTTTAAACTATGGAAAATTAAACAAAAATCAGAAAGTCAATGATCTTTTTGAAATCATGAAAGAATCCAGAGGATAAAAAATACCTTACCTTTAGGGAAGAAAAGATGACATCTGAGTTCTCAGAAGCCATGAAAGTTAGAAGAAAATAGAGTGAAATATTTAAAATTTTTGATAGAAGAAAAATCAATCTAGAATTCTGTATTACATGAAATTATCTTTCAAAGGTGAATGAGAAATAGACCGTCTCAGAGGAACAAAAATTGAGGGAATTTATTGCCAATAAACTTGCCTGGTAAAAAGTGATAAAATAAATTTTTTAGAGAGTAATAAAATTATACAAGTGAGAAATTTGGATCCACCTTTAAGAACAGAAGAGCCTTGAGGAAGAAATAAGCTAAAGTAAAATAAAAGAAAAA